GAGAGAGAGAGAGAGAGAGAGAGAGAGAGAGAGAGAGAGAGCGAGCTTTCCACACTGCATGGCAGGGCCACGGAGAAATCGCTCCCGGGTAATGAGACAATTAGCTCCCTGAATTCTTCCTGCAGGAACAAATCCGGGCCCCCATGGCATCTGTCCCCTCCTGTTCCTCCAGCTGGCCTCCTTGCCTTGCGCACCCCCTCCCGGAACCAGGCCTGGCCTCCTGCCCCCTGCCCACTTGTGCTGTGGAGGATGGGGTGCAGGGATGGAGCTTAGAGCGCGGGGCTGGGGCTTGGGGAGCGGGGGTGGGGCCCGGGTGAGGAACTGGAATGTGTCATGCGGGGCTCCGTGGAGCTCTGTGTGGGGGTGAGGTCAGGAATAGGTGCTCAGTGCGGAGCCGGAGCCCGGGCTGGAGCTCACAGAGGCCGGAGCAGCAAGGAGGTGCAGTCTGACTATAATGGAGTCCGGTGCCCCTGAGCCACGAACTCAGCTATACAGTTCTCCTGTGGGGCTGGCAGCCTCAAAGTCAAAGCTGCTCCGCAGCGAGGCGGCATATGGACTGCTGACAGAGCAGCTGCTAGGGAAGAAGCCGCCTAAAGGAAGCCTTGAGGGATAAACACAAGAAGCGCATGTCACCATGCAGGGCCTGAAGCGAGCCCTGCAGCTTTTAGGACCCTTCTGGAGGCAAGGAATGTGGTTTTAGGTGATATGCTAGAACCTCTGCCCCTAGAATGCTTGTCGCCATCAACGACGTGTAATTAGAATACCGTTGGGCATTTATGAGCAGCCAACCGGTTCTGGAAGCTACTTTCAATGCACTATGCCCTGGATTCCTTCGAACAGTCCCCTAGAAACCCCTCCGTGTTCCCATGTTGCAGACGAGCACACCAAAGGTAGAGAACTTTGGGATGTCAAGTTGGCCACGTGACTTGTCAGAGACCTGTGACTGATTCTAAAGCCTTCACTTGACTTCACCTTCACATAGGTTTTGGTAATTAGGAGGCAAGGCTTGGTGTCATTGGCAAAAATAACTGGAACATGCTCTCCCATCTGAGGGTCAGAGAACAAGGGCAGGCATGCTCAGTTGGGTACTTCCGGCCTCTCAAACAGGTGTGGCATTCTATGGATCACATGGAATTGTATGGAGAATTAACCATGCCTGGGGGAGCTGCTTTCCCGTGTTTTTTTTTTTGTTTGTTTGTTTGTTTTTGTTTTTGTTTTTTTCCAGGTGGGTAAACAGGGAATTGGGGTTTTTGCCCAAGGTCCCTTAAGAACCCAGACATAGAGGAGAGTTGGGCTCTCAGCTTCACACTGCAGGTCTTATCCTCTTTCTGCTCTGCCTGGAGTGGATCATGTTAAGGAAGGAGTCTCCTGAGCTGGAGGAGGAGGGAAGGGAAAGAACAGGAAGCCGTCACAGCGGCTTATTCTAGGCAGTGGCTGGTATCTCCCCACATCTCCAGGCTGTAGAGCTCACAGACTGCTGTTTCAAAGAACATCTAGATTGAACTAAAAGATACTGTTATTTTATTTTTTTTTCACTTGTCCCCAGCTCTGTTTGTAACCCAATTCCCAGCGGCCCCAGGAAGCCGTGGGCTGGTCTCTCTCCATCCATTCAATGCTGCTTCTCCAGATGAATCCGCCACGGCAGTTGGGGATCTGGACCTTCGAGACGTGGAGACAGAAATCAAGAGCCCATTCATCACACGGAAAACAGACACCTGACAGATCCAATTCCACATCGATGCATCAAACCTACAGAAAAACAGAGGGCCTCATTTTCTCAGGCAAGGGACAGAAAAGTTGCCAAGTAAAGGCCACAGGGTAAAACATCAGGGGCACTCTTTTAATATTCCCCCACCCCCACCCCAGGTGGTGGCAAATCACAGCCTGTCAGGGTCTGTCTTTCAGATCACAAGGCTAGAAGACTCCAGGTGTCTTGTGAGCATGGACTCACTGGGCTGTTTGGGTCAAGGGAATAAAACATTCAAACACTTTGGCTTTTTTTTAAAAATTATTATTCTAAGTGGAGGTCAGTTTTGGGGCCCTGAGGAGGCCTTGATCCTGAGTATGAATCTTGCTGAGCAAACCCAACAAGCAAAGAAAAACAGAAACTGCGGATGACGTGTGGGTTGAATTCAAGAATTTCTGAGTACCACAGTGTCCTTGGATGTAAGGATAAGACTAGAAGTATGTCATATCTGGCTTGCAAACATGTTTTTGAGGCTCAGTGCTTGAGCCCCTGTCTATGAGGCACAAGGATACCCTGAAGGAAGTCACTGCATGTAGAGAGAAGACTGGATGTCTGTGTGTGTAAATGTGTGTGTATGTCTTTCTGTGTGTGAGTGCCCATCTGTGTGTGTTTGTGTTTGTAGTATGTGTGTGCACACACATGTGCATGTTCAAGTCTGTGCGTGTGCGTGCCCGTGGAGGCCAGAGGACAACATCTGTCAGGTATCTTCAGATGTTTGCCTGGTGAGTCTCAGGTACCTGTTTCTTCTTCCCCAGCACTGGGGTTACAAACATATATAACATGCCTGTTTGTTTTCTTTTAAATTTCAACATTTATTCATTAAAAACATGAGTCTGGGATCAAGCTGATGTCCCCAGGCTTCTAGGTCAAGCACTTTATCAACTGAGCTGTCTTTCAGTCCCCTTCCCTCCATGGTTTGAGTCACGAGCCCTGGATGTGCTAGAATTTGAGAGCCCTCTGTGTCAGCCAGGATCATAGGTGTGTGCCACCACAACCAGCTCCCGCCCCTTTGTTGCCTCTGCTGTCTTCCTCCTCGACCTTCAGCTTTGCCTGATACTCTTTGGTTCGTGGTAGTGGCTCATGCTGTTCCTGGTGCCCAGGACGTACACAGCTCTTTGCTGTCCATCAAACATCTGTCTATATTTAAAAGGACAGCTCAGCTCACACCTCTGTCCAGAAAGTTGTTTGGACTCCTCACAAAGAATTGATCACTTTCTGCTTGAGATTCCTATCTTGGCACCAAGATTATTCACTGTTATTCCAATTTGAAATCCCTGTCAGAACCAGAAACCCACGCCAGGCCATTTTGGCTCTGCTGGCTTCACTTGTCAGCACTGGATCAGGGTGAATGGCTCAGACCGGCTCCCTTCAGTTGCAGATGATGAGGTCTCTAACTGGAAGGGCTATTTATTTATTCTTTTATTGCCAGTATTAGTCTGTATAAAGCTGAAGAGTAAACTCCTTGGCTTCTCAGGTATTACACTATCATCTTACAATTGTAACCCTAGATTCATAAACTGTAAAGTGCTGTGGGAATGTTGGTTTTGACTGTTACCAGGAGATGGAGCCCCTTTCCTGTGAAATCCTTTTCCCACAGCTCTGGGTTCCTGGCAGCTACAGCCATCCTAGTCAATTATTGCGGATGCCAGGACCTCAGTTCCCTAGCTGTGCAGAGTGGTCACAGGGACACCGCCTCAGCCACCGCTGTCACTGACCACAGCTGCCAGGGCCCCTACTCTGGAACCACAGGTCCTGAGCAAGTCCCTGAGGGTGGCAAGATGGCCTCAGAGTGGGGCCATCGAAACTCAGCTGTGTAATTTCCACTCGGTATACTTTGATCCATAAGAACTTCCTTGTGGACCAGGTCTAGGCAGAGACAAAGAGAAGAAATTTCAGAAGCTTCCTAGGCTGGGTACACACCAGTGAACTGAGACCCACCTAGCGATTGCTTTCTTTCCTGCCATGAGTCACTCATTGAGGCCCCCCCCACCCCCACCCTCCCACCCTCTCTAGTGCTGACTCCTCTGGGCTTTTGCTAGCATCTCTTCCTTATCTGCCAATTCTCTACCCAGCTACTTCTTAACCTCTCACACCGAACCTATCTTCCTTCCTCCTAAACCTGGCTTCCTCTTTCGGCCTCTCTTCTTCCCCCCATTCTGGTATCACTAATCTCTGAGAGTCCACCCAGACCTCTTTTTGAAGGTCAGGGCTTCCTTCAGCCTGGTTCTCCCCCTGGGCCTTCCCTACCTTCCTGTCTATTGTTGCTGCTAAAAGCCCAGAGGGTTCCAGAACTATCTAACAGGCTCTCTGTCCAAACTAGACCTGCTTCCCTGCTTCCTGCTCATCTCACCTGCCGGGGAGACATGCACTGTGTGTCTCTGCTTTTGTCTGCATTCCCCATTTGTTTGTTTGTATGCGGTTTGCTTCTTTTGACTGTCGACAATTGCTGGCCTTTCTCAGGACCTCCGTGAGTGCCTCCGGATACTTGCTTTTCTATTTTTGACAGGAATCTGTGTATATGGTATGGGGATGCACGCACATTTGTATGTGTGTAGGTATACATGGGTGTGCATGGACTTGAACATAGAGACTGGAGGCTGACCTTGGGAGTCTTTCTTAATGGCTCTTCTTGTTCATTGAGGCAGAGTTCTTGGTTGATGCCAGGGCTTCTCCAGTACGGGTAATCTGATATCTCGCTTGCTCTAGAGAGCCCTTGTGTTGATCTTCTGGGTGCTGGGGTCACAGGTGAGCTGTCCCACTCACTTGGCATTTATGTGGGTGCTGGGGCTCTGGACTTGGGTCCTTATACCTGTGTAGGAAACATTTTGGGCACTGAACTGACTCCCAACTGCTTTCTGGGCACTTTCAGACTCTCACGGTTGACCTCCATGTCTCTTGATCCTGGTGTGGGGCTTGCCCTCCTCCGTCTTGGTGAACGAATGAATGACAACTGCATTCATGGCTCGGTGCAGAAGTGAGAGCAGTCACTAAGCTAACCGTGACACTTCAAGAGAACCAAACCCTGCAGTGATATTTTGTTTGTAATCTAACAAATAAAGCCTGCCTGAAAATCAAAGTGCAGAGCTAAGCCACTAGAGGCCAGGCAGTGGTGGCACACGCCTTTAATCCCAGCACTCTGGAGACAGAGGTAGATGGATCTCTGTGAGTTAAAGGCCACTCTGGGCTATGCAAAATTGAACCAGGCCAAAAGAGAAACAGAGCTCACACAAAGGTGATCCTAACACTTGGGATCCCACGCCTTTAATCCCAGCACTAGGGAGGTGGAGACAGGAGTGATAGGGCTGGGTAGAGAGAGGAATATAAGGCAGGAGGAGACAGGAGTTCAGATGCAGTCTGAGGATTCATAGAGACAGGACCGCCCCTTCAGTCTGAGGATTCGGTAGAGGTAAAAGGTCTCTCTAGTGACTGACTGCTCTGCTTCTCTGAGCTCTCAGCTTTCACCCCCTAATATCTGACTCCGGGTTTTTATTATTAAGATCAATTAGACTTTGTGCTACAAAACTCCTTCTAAAAGGCCAGGAAAAGCTAATCCAAGGGGGTTCCGAGAGCACACCCCTCCTGTCCATTTCTGGCCCTTATGCCTGTCAGAACAGGGAAATTCTTTTTGCACTGCATACAGCTCGGAGCTGGAAAATGCTGAATCCAGAGGAACTTTGTCATAATTAACCACCTATTTGAAAGTACAAACTATGTAATTTGCCTTTAAGTGATCTTAAATTAATACAAATAATGAAGTATGCTCAGAATACTCCAGTACAGGTACATCCAATTGAAGACAATTAAAATTGAGACGGATTTATTAGTATTGTGACTATTATTGATTGAAACGGTAATGATAAATAAGGAGAAATGCTAAGTACAACAGGGAATTGGTAATATTTCTTCAAAGTAATCATTTTGCTGTGACTACCCAATTATTAGTATATTTAATGTGTTATTCAGTGCAATTAATTATCCACTTTGCTTCTGGGAAGGCACTAGGAAAAATCGCTTCTGCCTGGAGTGGTAGCTGCTGCTTGGCAGAGGGACAGGGAGAAGACACAGTGCAGGAGCCTCCTAGAAAACCACACCGTGTCTGTGGCTCCCTGGGGCTCAGGCAGAAACTTCAGATGCCACAGGGCAAAAGGGGACAAGTGGGTACTGACTTCTCAGCCTCCCAGTGAGTTGCCTTTTGCAACCCTGGAAATGCCGGTGACGCAGACTGGCAGATGGTATCAACTGCCTTGGGTTTGGACGGGGTCCCCTGGATGTGTGACCTAATAGTGGCCGTGCCTCCCCACGGATGAGGAGTGGTTCATCTTGTTGAATGGGAGCAGCACAGTCTGTGTACTACGCTCTTGGTGGGACTGAGCACACAGCCCAGCTGTTAGGAGACTGGATGATCCCCTGGGTTCCGTCTCCAGTACTCAGGGATGAACAAACCTGGGTATCTGCAGTCCCAGCACCCAGGAGCATCAGAAGCTCAAGGCTGTCCTGAGCTAGTCTAAGTACCTGCGACTGTCTGAAAACCAAACGAAACAAAACATCTGGCAACAATCCTTTGTAAAAGAGCCTCTGAGAACTTCACGGAACTCCAGGGAGGCCCTGGAGATGGTTGACCAGGAGACTGAGGTGTTCCTCTCCCTCCAGTTCAGTATGACTTGGAAGTTTGCTTCTGGTTCCTGTACACAATCTCTAGCAGCCTGCTACAGCCCCCCCAACAACTCAATGCAAGGTGACTGTGACAGACTGTACACCTTCTTCCGTCTCCACCTTCCCCTTATGCCCCTGGTCTGGACTGTGTGGTCTGCAGGACCCCATCCCTTCTGCTGGAAGGATGGGGATAGGTGAAAGGATGGTGCAGCAGTCACCGGGCGTGTCCTTGAAGCTCGTCTCTGTTTGCTTCCTTGTCTGCCAGCATAAGCATTCTAGTAGGAAAGTAGATGTCGTCAGCCTTGTATTACAGTATGAACTCTGGGTCTAATGTAAAGATCTAGAGAGCAGAGCTATTGGTCCAAGGTCATAGACCTCAGAAGCGCGTGATTGGGGAAGCAAATTGCACCCCACGACTCTTAGGAACCATTCTCCCTGATTCGTTTGCCTTCACTGTATCATCCCAGTGCCTGCTTATCTTTGGAAAGTCGAGTGCTGACTCTCCCAATGCCAAGGGTTCAACGGTGTTGTTTCCTAAAGCTAATTGTTAGTTTTTACATGAAAGCTCTACTTTGTGAGCTCCAAATTGCCCA